TGGGATTATTTGGGATTGAGAAGAACTAAAAAGATGGGAAGGATGGTTTTCCTAATGGGTACCTAAGACTTCAGGACACGACATACTTCGCGGCAGCCCACCCCGACGAAGTGGTTTTTCTTTGGGAAATCTAACCGTAGTGTGACATGTCAACGTCGATTATGCCATCGATCTATTCTCCGTCTCACTCTCAGACAAAGACCAGTGTTTACGTCACCCACATACAAATGCACACACGCGGGCGCTCGTCCGCTCGCACACGCACACAGGCACCACGACTCCTTCCTATTGGTTGACTTGTTAGTCATTGTCCTACTGTAGATTGTCACGTGACGCATGATTCATTCAGCAAAGCTACGTGCTCTGGACTATANGTTCTGTGCCTTGTCCTCCGGGCTACGGGTTAACCTGATTGAGACTTTAACTCGTAGTCTGACCCATAGGACAGTGGTGCATAGATCCAGCACGGGAGCGTGAATGAAACACCCATGTGGGAGCTTCTTGAGGCCTGTCACGCAAGGCCTTTGAATTTTGATTAATTGTGTTGTTCGCTGGTGCGTTGGTTATCGGTCCGCTTTTCGGGATCGGCCCTTGGCATCACGCACCCAATGAGACAAGCGAAACGTGGACGGGGCAGCACGTTATTGGCTGGGGGTCTGCCCAGCTTGGGCGGGCGGTAGCTGTCCAATGAAGTGCGAAGACTTCTCCCACCGTCGAGAGAAAGCCCCAAGTACCCCGCTCCTATGTCCATCTAGCTTTTTTTTTACCGGTAAACTGCCCCTCATGGTGCTTATTTGCTGGAGTGACCTTTGCAGGGGCGGATGTGGATAGATGCAGGAAGCCAGGTGCCCAGCAGCTGGCGTTGAGACTGAGCTTTGCCTGGCCTCTACCCGTTGACCTTTCGGGCATGATTGAATCTACGGCTGTGAAAAGCCATCCGGTGTAGTTCGCGGGGTCATAGGGGCACGTAAGCCATCATACCACGTCAAGGTGCAGTCTCGTCTGGAATGGAAGCAGCACCAAAAGGTATTTGTTCATCATGTCAGCATATGCACCAACCAACTGCAATTCTGATACACCAAAGGACGCTTTCTACGATGAATTCCGCAGTTATTAGAACGAATTAGGACGCATCGTCCAATTGCCTGTTTGAGTCGCCATATGAATGTTCTTTCTGACTGTTCTAGTGCTAAACGATTAGCAAAGGTTATTAGTGAAAAAAATCAATTCTAAACCCTAGGGTAGCCAAATGTCCATTGTTTTTTAAACTTGCACAGCCTTTGCAGTAAGGTTTTAATTTTACGTTTTCTGTGGCCTTTCTTAAATTATTTGTATTTACTCAGACGTTGGTTGCTACCGGTTAAACAGCATTCGATCTATAAGCACTAACATTGTTTACCGTCGCTCCAGTTAAGAACACCCAGATAGTTATCTGTCTGTCTTATAATCGAATCGCCCTCCTTGTTGTCGCCAATGTTAACTCAAATCAACGGGCATTTGCGACTGCCAACTTTTCAGTTTGTTTGAACAATCATTAACTATGCTCGTTCAATCGATGGTTTTGGTTGCTGTCTTTCGGCTGCTCTTTTAGATGAAGGGTAGAAAAAAGATTAGAAAATATGGGAGCGGTGTCGAATGGAGAATTTCAGTAGACTAAGAGTGAAAAAAATTGAGGAGATGCACGAATGCCGCTGCTTATGACAATCGTATCACTCATTGTTCAATCATTGATTACAAAGATCCCGAGGTCCTCATTCAGGAAGCCTAACCTATATAACCGAGTTTCCTGGTCAGGGTTTTCGTAACCTTATGCCACATCTTAGTTTGACTACGCTTGTCTTTTTGCACCCACTACCTGCCAGGGCATACATCGCGTGCTGTGGCAACTGTATGACCGAAATCACTTATGATCTAAGAAGCTTTTGGATTGAAAAGTCCGATATATCCTTGATGTTCGCTCGATGTTCAGTCTATCCGATCGACCAACAATCCGCATTAGTAAGGGCCCTAGAAACTTTCTGACGTGCCTCCTGCGCATTCAAGATCCTACTTCAATAATCACACTTCATTCACAAACTGAATCTCATCCGCACGTTTCATTTTCGTGTGTCAGGCAATCTAGCATCTGACACTCGCGGTTTTGCCATCTTCAGGGTTGCGCTAAGTATGAAGCTAAGTGCTCGTTTTTTAACTGGATTCCGGTTAATAACCAACTTTGTTCCGTACGTCACAATGGTTCAGTGCGGGTCAACGGCAACAGAATCAAGGGTGGGAGCGTATTCGTCATGTCCGGTTTTTTCATCGGTAGATTATAGTATGCCTAAACGAAAAATGACTTCTGCAGTTATTTTTCTCGACTTCTCGAAAGTGATCACTCAATTCGCACCGTATTATTCGCCAGCGACTTCAACGCTCAAGTGGNCAAGTGGGTTCCTTGGACTAATCATAAAGATGTCTAGACAACCCACATGCAATCCCAACCAACAGGACAGACAACGGAGTTCGTCTACCTCGATCTTGCGCAGATACAGATTGTTCCTGTCAATCATCAAATTCTCCCACAAAAACTGATATCTTGGATTTATCTTCCTACAGTCTTCTCAGCGATGCACTCAAATCAATCACATTACCATCAACTACCGGTGGCGGGGATTCATTCAAGACTGTCGCTCTCAGTGGTCAACCGCCGTGGATACGGACGATACTCTATTAGAAGTCAGATTCTGCCTATACCTGGAAACGCCACAACAAGGGCGCTGAAAATGAATTCCCACAAAATTTAAGCATGTGCTTTGGCCTGGTCAACCTGATAGTATCGTGCCCACTAAAAAGTCATGGTGCTGTTTTTTATAAAGATAATTACTTGTTTGACACAGTCAGATGATATATATATATATATATATATATATATATATATATATATATATATATATATATATATA